ACCCTTCCCAAAATGGTTGGGCCAGAACCGCCCCTATATATCTACTAAGGACATGGCATGAGGGAAAGTTAATGACAAAGTGGATATCCGCCAAACTAGCCAATGACCGCTACGAAAAACAAGACAAGGAGGAACTTTCGTGAAAATATTACATTTTTCTGAAAAATAAAATAAAATGCACTGAAATAAATGAATCTCCTACCAAAAAAAGTCCCGTACAAATATTTTACTCTTTCGTTATTTTTAAAATTCAAATGACCCTGATTTTCCGAAATTCCTAAAAATTTTCAAGTGTGGCCTCATTCGATATTTTTCGTAAAGAGTTGATGAAATACAGCGGGACTCGATCGATACTTAGAGTTGAAACACCATGGCGGGTGACTGTCTTATTCTTCTGCGACTTATTGCCGGAGTTTTTACGATGCTTTTTATATAAACATTCTGTCCGATGTTTGCCTCATTATTTTGCCATTATATAACGAGGTTTTATCGAAACTTTGCAATGAAATACCGNTTGCCTCATTATTTTGCCATTATAAAACGAGGTTTTATCGAAACTTTGCAATGAAATACCGCGAATTACTCCTGTACGATTATATTACGAGACTTGGTCGATAGGTTGCTTTGAAGCTCCATGACAAGTGCCTGCCTCAATCTTGTTCGATGGATTGACGAGGTTCTCACGATGTAAATATTCTGTCCAATACCTGCCTCATTGTTTGACAATGATATTACGCGGTTCTATCGATACTTTGCGTGAAAATAACTTGAATTATTTTTATTCGATTTTATTACGAGACTTGGACAATACTTTGTTTTGATACACCTTAGCGAATGACCACCTCACTCTTGTTCGATTGATTGACGATGTTCTTACGATAATTGACATTCAAATATTCTGTCCGATACCTGCCTCATACTTGTACCATAATATTACGAGGTATCATCGATACTTTGCGTGAAAATACTTTGAATTATTTTTATTCGATTTTATTACGAGACTTGGACAATACTTTGTTTTGATACACCTTAGCGAATGACCACCTCACTCTTGTTCGATTGATTGACGATGTTCTTACGATAATTGACATTCAAATATTCTGTCCGATACCTGCCTCATACTTGTACCATAATATTACGAGGTATCATCGATACTTTGCGTGAAAATACTTTGAATTATTTTTATTCGATTTTATTACGAGACTTGGACAATACTTTGTTTTGATACACCTTAGCGAATGACCACCTCACTCTTGTTCGATTGATTGACGATGTTCTTACGATAATTGACATTCAAATATTCTGTCCGATACCTGCCTCATACTTGTACCATAATATTACGAGGTATCATCGATACTTTGCGTGAAAATACTTTGAATTATTTTTATTCGATTTTATTACGAGACTTGGACAATACTTTGTTTTGATACACCTTAGCGAATGACCACCTCACTCTTGTTCGATTGATTGACGATGTTCTTACGATAATTGACATTCAAATATTCTGTCCGATACCTGCCTCATACTTGTACCATAATATTACGAGGTATCATCGATACTTTGCGTGAAAATACTTTGAATTATTTTTATTCGATTTTATTACGAGACTTGGACAATACTTTGTTTTGATACACCTTAGCGAATGACCACCTCACTCTTGTTCGATTGATTGACGATGTTCTTACGATAATTGACATTCAAATATTCTGTCCGATACCTGCCTCATACTTGTACCATAATATTACGAGGTATCATCGATACTTTGCGTGAAAATACTTTGAATTATTTTTATTCGATTTTATTACGAGACTTGGACAATACTTTGTTTTGATACACCTTAGCGAATGACCACCTCACTCTTGTTCGATTGATTGACGATGTTCTTACGATAATTGACATTCAAATATTCTGTCCGATACCTGCCTCATACTTGTACCATAATATTACGAGGTATCATCGATACTTTGCGTGAAAATACTTTGAATTATTTTTATTCGATTTTATTACGAGACTTGGACAATACTTTGTTTTGATACACCTTAGCGAATGACCACCTCACTCTTGTTCGATTGATTGACGATGTTCTTACGATAATTGACATTCAAATATTCTGTCCGATACCTGCCTCATACTTGTACCATAATATTACGAGGTATCATCGATACTTTGCGTGAAAATACTTTGAATTATTTTTATTCGATTTTATTACGAGACTTGGACAATACTTTGTTTTGATACACCTTAGCGAATGACCACCTCACTCTTGTTCGATTGATTGACGATGTTCTTACGATAATTGACATTCAAATATTCTGTCCGATACCTGCCTCATACTTGTACCATAATATTACGAGGTATCATCGATACTTTGCGTGAAAATACTTTGAATTATTTTTATTCGATTTTATTACGAGACTTGGACAATACTTTGTTTTGATACACCTTAGCGAATGACCACCTCACTCTTGTTCGATTGATTGACGATGTTCTTACGATAATTGACATTCAAATATTCTGTCCGATACCTGCCTCATACTTGTACCATAATATTACGAGGTATCATCGATACTTTGCGTGAAAATACTTTGAATTATTTTTATTCGATTTTATTACGAGACTTGGACAATACTTTGTTTTGATACACCTTAGCGAATGACCACCTCACTCTTGTTCGATTGATTGACGATGTTCTTACGATAATTGACATTCAAATATTCTGTCCGATACCTGCCTCATACTTGTACCATAATATTACGAGGTATCATCGATACTTTGCGTGAAAATACTTTGAATTATTTTTATTCGATTTTATTACGAGACTTGGACAATACTTTGTTTTGATACACCTTAGCGAATGACCACCTCACTCTTGTTCGATTGATTGACGATGTTCTTACGATAATTGACATTCAAATATTCTGTCCGATACCTGCCTCATACTTGTACCATAATATTACGAGGTATCATCGATACTTTGCGTGAAAATACTTTGAATTATTTTTATTCGATTTTATTACGAGACTTGGACAATACTTTGTTTTGATACACCTTAGCGAATGACCACCTCACTCTTGTTCGATTGATTGACGATGTTCTTACGATAATTGACATTCAAATATTCTGTCCGATACCTGCCTCATACTTGTACCATAATATTACGAGGTATCATCGATACTTTGCGTGAAAATACTTTGAATTATTTTTATTCGATTTTATTACGAGACTTGGACAATACTTTGTTTTGATACACCTTAGCGAATGACCACCTCACTCTTGTTCGATTGATTGACGATGTTCTTACGATAATTGACATTCAAATATTCTGTCCGATACCTGCCTCATACTTGTACCATAATATTACGAGGTATCATCGATACTTTGCTTGAAAATACTTTGAATTATTTTTTTTCGATTTTATTGAGAGACTTGGTCGATACTTGGCTTTGAAATACTGCGACCGGAAGCTGTCTCATTCTTGTTCGATTGATTGACGATGTTCTTACGATAATTGACATTCAAATATTCTGCCCGATACCTGCCTCATACTTGTATCATAATATTACGATGTATTATCGATACTTTGCTTGAAAATACTTTGAATTAATTTTTTTCGATTTTACTCCGAGACTTGGTCGATACTTGGCTTGGAAATACTGCGACCGGAAGCTGTCTCATTCTTGTTCGATTGATTGACGATGTTCTTACGATAATTGACATTCAAATATTCTGTCCGATACCTGCCTCATAATTTTACCATAATATTACGAGGTATCATTGATACTTTGCGTGAAAATAACTTGAATAATTTTTTTTCGATCTTATTGAGAGACTTGGTCGATACTTGGCTTGGAAATACTGCGACCGGAAGCTGTCTCATTCTTGTTCGATTGATTGACGATGTTCTTACGATACTTGACATATTAATATTCTGTCCGATACCTGCCTCATACTTTTACCATAATATTACGAGGTATCATCGATACTTTGCTTGAAAATACTTTGAATTATTTTTTTTCGATTTTACTCCGAGACTTGGTCGATACTTGGCGTTGAAACACTGCGACTGGTGACTGTCTCATTCTTGTTCGATTGATTGACGATGTTCTTACGATACTTGACGTATTAATATTCTGATTATTGATGCTCCTGCAATAGTTCTTCGTTATCTCCCACAGTTAGCTCACACTATATACAAGTAATTCTCATTCCTCCGTTTTAAACCTATCAGCGCCATCTCCCATGTATATCATCAACTGACTTCGTCGATAGTGAAGACTAAGTTGACAATATCACTACGTTTCACCCTCTTGTATTTACGTGTGTGTTCAGTTGCCGAATTTACCAGATCTGTGCTCAGTTGCGGATGTGTTCAGTTGACTGTGTCCAGTTGCACCCATCCCACACAAATTTATTGTGAACACTGGACAAAATATCTAGAACCGCAACTGTAAAATATGTTAACATATAGACTAAAACTCAATCCATAGTGTAAATAAATCATGTAGATTTGAGCACTTTAAACAATAAAAAAACAAAAAAAAATCGCCACGCAACAGCCACGCAAATACCGTGGCTGTAGCGTGGCTCCTGGATTCTCAGGGCCCATATCACTTGAATGCATTGGATTCTATTGATATAATCTGGAAACGATTTCTGGATCATGAACCAGGTGGTTGTAGGAGTTTCAAGTGCAATAATCCAAACTGCTCCCTAGTACCCACACCAATTCCTCTAATTCATGTTAATGAGCAAATTCTACGCAGTGGTGGCTATAAAGACTTACAAAGAGCGCTCCAATACTATCCAATTATTTATAACAAAAAATGTCTGCCGACATGTGGAGGGGAAGGTGAAGAACATACACTGTTGAGGGGTCACATTTGCGTAAGTTTAGATGTGCGTGAACGTTCAGACAGACGTTAAACTATGGAAGGTTGTTTAAATGAGTTTCCTCATTATCTTCACTTAGAGAGGACGTACAGGTATAACTTTATGTACAATCACAATTACCTATGAATTCACACAAAGTTATTGATGAAGAAATTCCTAATTGTCTTTTTTCATGATTTTCAGATTGGTGGGAATCATTCATCATCAGCCAGGAATATCACCTGGGGTCATTGAGACTGGACCTCTAGAGAATTCAGAAGTGGGTCACTTCTCAGCCTATATCCTTCGTACTTCTGGATCATCGATCCATTGTGATGATATGCAGGAGTCGATAAATTACAAATGTAAATCAGATCAATCTGTGAAGCCACATGCAGCAATTTACATCATTTGTGGGACAGACCTCAACAGTTGAAGACGCTTTGTATTTTAATCATTAATAAGACTCCATAACACTTTTTCTACGTTTTCTCAAGTGTGGTGCCATGTGCAATCTTTATCTAGGAATCGCTGTTTCATTCGTCGGGGCGTATGTATCCGAATTCAAATGTTCTGAAAGTAGTATGTAAGTGCATTATTAAATATTCAAGTTGTTGGCCCCTATCTAAAGTGAGATCTTATCACAACTTTTTATACATTTGCGTAGCATTTTTTATTGAAAAGAAGGCCCCAACTAATGATTTTCATTATATTTTCAATTCCAAAAATCGATATAATTTCATGAAAAATCCTAATGAAAGTATGAATTGAATATCAAACTAGTGAAAGATAAATATTCTCAGTATTGAATATGAAACCTGTGATGTAAATAATATCTAGGATTATTATTTCTCCATTGTCATGTTTTGTTTTTGTTTTTCAAGTCAAGAAGAATGAGTACTTGATGAGTTGGTTTATAACTACCACGATTGGTGTTTTTTGTTACTGACCAAAGTAGCTAATGAAAGTTCAAAGGTGAACCTTTTGTTGAAAAGGGATCGAGTTTCGAATATCAAGTTTTCGTCCGTTTATGAAAACGAGGTTTGATACTACCTAGTTATGTAACTTTTTGCGACTGATGTGTTGATGTCATTTGAGATATAATGTTAGAAAAAAATTCAATGAAGAAAGAAGATATAAAGGGTTTTTCTATGATAAAAAATTTTTGTTACTACATATCAGAGTTTGTATGCCATGTATATATTTGTCATACAGTAAATAAGAACAAAGTATAATCAAGTTTATTGTAGCGACATAAATTATTTCTCCTCTCAAGTGACGTTATTCAAACTAAAATTAAGTCATTTATCAAGGAGAAGAATGGGTTTAAAAACAATGAATATACAATGGTAAATTGACAGAAACATAAAATAACATCGAGTATTGTGCCTTCAGATACAGAAGACATTGACGATTGATGAATTTTTGGATTTTAACAAATTTTATTTTATACAAAATGTTTAACTGTGACGTTCGAACTTATGATTCATTGTGTACTCCTCAGAGAAGATTTTTGCTGTTAAAGTTTGCGTGGAAGGAGCAATATCGACGAGTTGAAAAATTAATTTGTAGAAATGACGGGTTCTGTAACGAAAAACACAAATTTTTAATGAATTTTGGTTATTAAACAATCATTCCTAGGAGAATGAATCTCTTATTCAAAGATTAACATTCCCACCTGAAATTACTCACTGAGAAAATAATTCAACAAAGAACCAAAGCACCCTTCCCAATGAATTCAAATAATTAGTTTTAGCAGCTGCTGGTTTGAATCCCGCGTAGAATGACATGAAATACTCTTTTCAGCTCTGCGCCCCTCGTCTGCACGTCCTAAGCCGCCTAATCATTAATCATCATACGGCATACACTCCCAGTGTAGATCATGGCACTGGTCGAACTCATCACTTGATTGCAGACCCACAGTATCATTCTAATAACAATTGTAGACACTCTCCAGTGACCTCAGAATATCCATCATCATTTCACTGCACTTGATCATTCACCTCAGAATCTTCCACCGTGAAATCGTTAGCTTCTAAGGTGACTTCCACCACAAACCTCTCCAGTTTCTTCCAGTTTGATTTCACCGTCAGATATGCAAAATTTAACATTCTTATTCACCATAACTATCGGAACATTATACGGTTTAGAGAATGATATCCGGCACTTTAAGATCATCATCTCTATCTCCACTCCCTCCTTCATCTCTTGACCTTAAGACTCGAATCAGAACGCTGACCCTCCTTTGTCACACCGAACCTACCCTTGACTAATGACTTCCCAGGCTTGAGCCTTCTGATGACAGAAATCACTTCAAATATTGATCTGCCCGAAGATATGCCTCAAAAGGAAGAACTGGAATCGCATTGTCGAGATATCGACTGATATTTGTGATAAGCCCGACATTCAGCTGGAGTTGGATTCAGAAGACTTAAATTCTTTTCTTCACATTGAAACACATTCTCCTGAGAATTGATCACTAGAGAGAACGTTATCAAGTCCATCAATGTCTTTCATTGAGATAAAAGGTTTTTGTGAGGAAGTTTTCCTTTCATTCCTTCACCTTGTCGCTAATGTCTTTCGCTGGGTCACCCTCGCTGACCAGTTGATTCTATTTTTGATCTCCTAAAGACTAAATTCAGACCTTCTTAATGTGTCCATGGGGGTTCTCGTGGGGTTGGAGGGTCTGGGAGCAGGCTCCTTACTCTTCTCAGGAGCTTCATGCGTTCTTTGGGAGTAAGTAATATTCATCTCGAGCTCAGCAGTCCTTCTCCTCGAAACAGATGCTCTGAACACAGTTCCCCTTGTTGATTGTAGGAGTTGCCACGGATATTCCTTTGGCCTTTCTGAGCACATTGATTCTGTCTTCCAGATGCTTCATCTCTGAAAGTTGAGCAGGAAAAATTCTTTCTGCTTTATTGAAAACCTGAGATGTTATGAAAGAATGCCATAACCTATATCTGTTGTAGACTACTTATCCCTCTACCCACAGCCCAGAAGATGGAAGGGAGGGGACAGCTCAGTCACGCGACTCCTGAAGTACAATAGCTGCATGATTCTATTTTTATTGATTATTGATGTAATGACAGTTTCCCAAATAGAAACAACGATTTCCCTATAATTCCCAAATTATTTTACATCAATTAGAGTTGAAATTTTTTTTTTTTTCATGATCTTTCGCCAAGTTTACGGTGAAATAATTTTTTAATGATTACTAATTAACTATTAGTTCCTAAATTACGAAAAGGGTTTTCTAAAATTTCCCAAATTATTTCCTAATTATTCCATGCATTGATTTTGGAAAATATTTAATTTGTTTGCCAAGTATACGGCGGTCCTTGTTTATCATGGCGTCAGCTCATCATACATGCACGAGGCAAACAGGAAAAATACAAGATACGATGTCCACTGAAGGACAAAATAGTGTACAAAAGGATGACATTAATCTAAACTATAAAGAGGGGGATGAATTATTGATTGAGCTCGTTCAATCTCGTCGTCATATATGGAATAAGAAACATCGTGACCACAAAGACACAGACATGATAGAAAATTCGTTGTTCCGGCGACAGCGATCTTCTGGGATTAGTTTTCTTTAAAAGTGGTGAAACTTTCATTAGCAATTGGTCAATTCTGGTTACTGAAATCCTCGTGGATCGAAAAAATAACTCATCACTTCGCAATTTGAAAATAAACGATTCAACGTCTCCAATTGTATCACCATAATAATTGATAGGTCGTGTCCACCAACGTCGATACCTCTATCGTTTGTGCTTCATTTTTTTAATGAACATGAATAGTCCCTTCATTTGTAAACTCACATTTGCTAAGAATAGCGCATCGGTACCAATCATGATTACAAAATAATTATTACCAGATAATTAAATGACTGACGTCTCAAATATTTCGTTGTGACGCAGGTTATGTGGCTATTGCTTGTGCCTCTGTATTGTGCATTGAATTGTTGCTTATTTCATGTTGCTTATAGCCTGTTAACCTATATTTGTTGCTTATCGCTTGTGTTTTTTGATTGTGCGGCCTTTAGAGCGACCATATTGACGAAAAACCGCGCCCTCAACGGTATTTAGCGAGTCCAATCTTTTTCTGTCCCGTTCATTTTACCGACCGGAGTATCTGATGGCCAAGAAGTACGTAGGGGGCAGCACAAAAACTCGGAAAATTTCTCCGGACAGAAAATACATGGAAGCTGAGTCAGAGATTATAGGGGAGATGAACTGTTACGTTCTAAGCTGGTTCTCCGTTGAAGAGATGGCAGGTCCAATGCCCGTGGAGCGCTAAAGCACTCTGCTCCACAAGTGCGGGAATTTTCGAATAAAAATAATTGAACACGAACACCAATTTAATTAGATAATCCAATCGAAACGTTTATATTTACTTTTCAAAACTTAGAAGATATTTTACAACAACACTTTGGGTTTTTAAAACTTGAGAAGACGATAACAATTTCTCTCGAACTTCTCATATCCACGTATGGGATAGATCTGCCCTTACTCTTACTCTAAAAATTAGTCTAAGTGTCGAAGATGAAGGGCTCATCCCACAGAAAAGAGTAGGGGACCAATCGTGGCCTTGAATCCAGTGAACAGGGTTGGTCTAACACCCCCGCGTTCGCTCGAGCTGGCCCAGCCCCAACTCTCGAGTCTACGTGGCTTGAACAAAGGGCCTTACATGTGGTTTTTCGAGAGAGACAGAAAATGCTTGAATTTCACCCGGGGAAAATAAACTGTCTCCAGGAAAAGGTTTTACGACTCGAACGGTTTAATGTCAAGCTAGAACTGCACTCGAAAACTCTATATAAAAAAAAACAATACAAAGGATCTTTTATTTTTGGATGGCCAGAGCTACGTCGAGAGACTCTTTAGATTTATTATTCGTTTCCTGTTTACGAGTTTCTCGAACTTAGTTTCTATATTTTTTTCTATATTTTCTTGTTTCCAAAACCGTGGGAATATTTCAACTAGCTTAAAAATAATATTGGATTTATAAAATTACCAGATAAAAATATTTGAATCTCAATGGTTGTGATGTCTTGACGTTGAAATTTATAGATGAGGCTATTAATCGGCCATAGCAGTCCGCGAGATTCAAATTATTGTTGGAAAATAATTTAAATAGTTCAGAAAATTAAAAATATACCAGAAATAGAAGAATAAAGAAAGTCTGAAATACAATGGACAAAGAGAACGAAAAACAGCATCGCAAGCGTGAGAAAAACCGTTACGGAAATAGTAAATGTCAAATACTTGAGTTTTGTTCTTATAATTTACAACCCTCCAAAATTCTCGTTGAGTAAACACTTTCCTCGAAAATCCAAAATTTAGAGAAGAAAATAAATTTAACGGTTACGGTCCCATGTCGCAAAATCTCAGTTCTGGTTATTTCGAAAGTTTCTCTGTTTCACGTGACCAACATGTGTGGGCTCTCCTTTGTTCATTGTTTCGCTAGGCTGAGGGCCTGAGACCCTTCGCGACGAAGTTTCACGACGTCACACGCTCCCCTTCTTCCCCTTTTTTCATTTCCCCGCTTTTCCTTGAGTTTCACTTTTC